GGCTAATTAGGACACCTGGAGCCAATTAAGAAGAAGCTGCTAGAATCAATTAAAGCAGGCTATTCAAGGCACTTGGGTTTTAAAAGGAGCTCACTTCAGTTTGTGGTGTGAGGAGCTGGGAGCAAGAGGTGCAAGGAGCTGAGAGTGAGAGGGTGTGTTGCTGGAGGACTGAGGAGCACAAGCGTTATCAGACACCAGGAGGAAGGTCCTGTGATGAGAATAAGGAAGGTGTTTGGAGGAAGCCATTGGGGAAGTAGCCCAGGGAGTTGTAGCTGTCATGCAGCTGTTACGGGAGGCACTATAGACAGCTGAAGTCCACAGGGCCCTGGGCTGGAACCCGGAGTAGAGGGTGGGCCCGGGTTCCCCCCAAACCTCCCAATTGACCTGGACTGTGTGTTCTTCCAGAGGGGAAGGTCTCTGCTCTGTTCCGCAACCCACATGGTGAATCTCTGAGGCAAGAAAATCCACCAATAAGCACAGGACCAACCAAGATAGAGGAGGAACTTTGTCACACAAGACAGAAATGAATACATTATGGCACAATCTGAATCATTTAGCCCAACTGACATAATAAGCTAAAGACCTTTGAACCAGATAGGTATAAAATTCAGTCACCACATTAGGGATGGGGATGTAGCCATCCTTATGAAAAACAGTGAATGGTGGGTCAGCCATGAGGACCTGCAATTCATACACTCTTCTAGCAGTTGTGATGGATCAGTTAAGCAAGAGACTTCAACTCCCATCAGCCCTTCACACTACACTTCCCTTTCTTCTGGCCAGGAGGGGGAAAGATCCTGAACCAGGAAGGGGCTGGGCTCGGTTTAAAAAGCAGCAGCCACATGACAAATCAGGAGCTGTAAAGAAGAAACCCCAGGAACCGTAAGCAGAGCCACATGTGGAACAGGTTGTGACTGCTGAATGTTACAGCTGGGTGCAGGTCTGTATGGGACTTATGCGGCAGTGGAAGAAAGCTAGTACAGAGGGCCCCAATGAGAGAAACTAACCAAGCCTGGTCTATTTTCTTCAAGAGACTAGACTGGAGAGGGCACCCCAGGCACTAGTCCTGAAGAGCCCTGATTTTCAATAGGACTGCCCCAAGGCCCAAAACAAGAACTCCCTATTGCAAACTTTGAACTGTAACTGTAAAGCCTCTATACCGAGGATATTTGCAAACGTTGCCTTCTCTGCCAGCCCTAGCGCATTACCGTTTCACTTAACCATTGGGACCTACCAGGGCCATCATCAACAAGTCTTAGCTGCTGAAGCACCTACAGCACTTGCTTTTAAATTGCTGTACATGAGGCATTCTCCTAGTTCCTTAGGCATGTAATGTACTCGAACACAGAGCAACCCCCAGAATTACACAGATGTTATGGCTATAACTTCCCTTGCTGCAATAAAGGGTTTAGTCTTCAGCAAGGGAGATTTAGATTAGCTATTAGGAAAAGCTTTCTAACTATAAGGTTAGTTAAGCTATTGAATAGGCTTCCAAGGGAGGCTGTGGAAGCCCCATCATTGGAGGCTTTTAGAACAGGTTGGACAAACACTTGTCAGGGATGGTCTAAGTTTACTTGGTCCTGACTCAGTGCCTGGGGCTGGACTCGATGACCTCTCAAGGTCCCTTCCAGCCCTACATTTCTATGATTCTATGATAAAAGCTGTTTTAACGGAGAGTTAAAATAAACACCATTCTGCTATTGGCTCAAATGGAACTTCATTAGCTACTGGAGGTTCCATGCTGGATAAGGGTCTTTAACGTGTAGGAAGATTTACTGAACCCTTTTATAAAGATCTTAACTATGTTGTGTGTGAATACAGACTTCTTATCTATGAGAAAGTGGTATAGCTGCTAGATGGACATTGACTGCTGATAAAAAAGGTGTGAAAGTTTCAACTGTAGCAGTTATTCCAAAATATGATGAACTGGAGCCATTGTTGTAGCTACATTACTACTCTTTATGCAGAGACTGAATCTCTTCCATTTGAAGCTATAACACTTAAGGGTTGATTCTTTCCTACAGTTAAGTAGGACATGAACCAGCAGACAACAAGATTGTTCTAATTCTATCAAAGACCCATAGCCCAGGTTGTCAGATCTGATCAACTCTCCAACAAATCTGTGAGGAAGAGGAGGAGATTGGTAAACACCTTTTGTAAGATGAAGGACTGAGAACCACTTGGCCACGATGGAGCCACTAGAATTACTTTGGCTCTGTCCAGTTTTATCATTTTTACCATCTTGTGGATGAGAAATGGGGGGAAAGCATACAGAAGACTTTGCCACCAGATTATCAGGAATGTGTCTGGAATGGATTAGCTTTCTCTTCCTGCTCTTGAGCAAAATCTGGGGCATTATGCCTGGTTGCAATGAGATCTACATGTGGATGACCCCCACAAGTTGAAGATCTTGTGTATCACTGAGTTCTCCAATGATCAATCCTGGAGTTCTGCTCAGTTGGTCCACAATACTGTTGCATTTCCCTGCTAGGTATTGCAGTACAGGAGAGATCTTGTGTTGAATGCACCACTGCCCTGCATCCACTGCTTTACTGCATAGATGTGTGGAATGAGTACCATCCTTGCTTGTTTATATAATACACAACTTTCCTTGATTGCAGCTGGCCTGTGTTGTCCTTGAAAAGCTGCACTATGTTCAAATATAAGTGAGGCAGAAAAGATTTGGGATCCCAGCATATTGCTCTGAGTTCTAGCACACTAATGTGTAGTTTATTTTTTCTGGGAGTTCCAGTGGCCACAAACTGTCAAACTGTCAATGTGAGCTCCCCTGCCCAGGTTGGATGTAGTTGAGGTTAGTGTTGCTGATACTGCTGGACAGTTGAAAACTACTCTCTTCATCTTGAGACAGTCCATCAGGATTCCTTGCTATGGTCAATATTAGAGACATATCTAAAATATGTCTGTTCTTTTGTCAGTCATTGCTGGATAGACCACATTTCCTTCTAGGTATAATGTTTCACCTGCATAGCTGAGTCTATGAGGCCCATAAATCTGAGCAAGAAGATGACTTTCTGATATGCAAATTGGTGCAGCGAGGCTATAGCTGATTGAATCTTTGCCAACATTTCTTCTGGCAAGAAGACTGTGGTGATATAGGAGTCCAACATTGCCCACTGTCTTGTGGGTATCAAACTGGGAGAAGTCCCTAATATTCTTAGACCTACTTCCCTAAATAAGAAGCAAGTATAGAATATGGCTCCTGCTAGACTTTATTTTGATAACACTAATTAGCCAAGTATCAGAGGGGTAGCCGTGTTAGTCTGAATCTGTAAAAAGCAACAGAGGGTCCTGTGGCACCTTTGAGACTAACAGAAGTATTGGGAGCATAAGCTTTCGTGGGTAAGAACCTCACTTCTTCAGATGCAAGTCTTGCATCTGAAGAAGTGAGGTTCTTACCCACGAAAGCTTATGCTCCCAATACTTCTGTTAGTCTCAAAGCTGCCACAGGACCCTCTAGGACTTTGTACGTTCTTGGTAAATAAACAAAATTGCACCAAAGGTACCAAACTGCCATCATCA